AGAAGCAAAGCATTTATTGTTTCCCCAAATTTTATCAACATTGGAATTTTTAGAGTTTATTCTAAGTTGATATTTAGACCCCCATCTCTTATCTAGATAGTGTACTTAAATTATAAGCGCCGGGAAGGACCCATGCTCTCTGTGTGGAAGCAGTGGTCTCTCTGCAGATGCCTGACAAGTTAAGTCAGAGCTAGAGTTCTCAGAAGGTGGTGTGTCGGATCTCTGCAGAGGGATCACTGCTTCCACACCAAAAGATGGTTACTTACCTCAGTCCACTGTCCTGGCCATGCCTGTGCATTACAGCCCCGTAGACTTCCATGGGGTTGTGTTCTGAGTCCAGAGATGGAGGAAGACATCCCCACCAGAGGCCACGGCCATTGGAGGAAGACATCCCCACCGGCCATTGGAGGTAAGCATGCATCTGTGAAGGGGGAAGGTGGGCTAGTATAGGTTAAAAAAGGGGTGCAAAAAGGATAACCATAGGTTAAAAAAAAGGGGGGCAAGTTCATATAGCGAGGAGGATGCCCCAGATGGTGCTGGTGACTATTGGCAATGACCCTTTAATTAAAGTTACAAAGAACTTTTAGGTCTCTTTCATTTAGAAGTAAATGCTCCGTGGCCCCTTATAATGGCATAAAACAGAACTTGTCCACCTTTGCTCCAGGATTAAAACCCAACTGAATACATTTCAAGGTCATCAAAACAAAAGGTGTGCAGAGTCTTACCGTTCGCTTTCACCGGAAAGCGGCCACAGCCAGTGTAGAGAAGCATGTGCCCTGGCAGCCTGCTGCCGTGAAGGACCCATGCTCTCTGTGTGGAAGCAGTGGTCTCTCTGCAGAGGCCTGACAAGAGCTAGAGTTCTCAGAAGGTGGTGTGTCGGATCTCTGCAGAGGGATCACTGCTTCCACACCAGAAGCAAGAGTCCTTCTTTGCAGCATGCTGACAGGGCACAGGCTTTTCTACTCAGGCTGTGGCTGCTTTCTGCAGAAAACAAACCGTAAGTCTTTGAACATCCGGACGGTGTTTAGCTCATTCGAATTCCACGTTTAAATGTGAATGGCATCGGGTACGTCCCTTGGCGTGGCGTGCTCTCATGTTACTACATAGAAGGCAGAGAATCATCTGGTTTTTTTTTTGTATAGGAGAGCGTCTTTAAACTTCATAACACTTAAAGGAGAACTATGGGGTCAGTGCTTTTTCCCATAATTCTCCTTAAGGTAACTGGAGGACACAAACTAGCGTCCTCCCGTCACCCTAAGCTCAGTATACTGCAAGCTACAGCTCGCAGTATACTGAGACGCTGGAGCGGATCCCGACATCGATGTCGAGATCCGCCCAGCTGCGTGAGTGACTGCTGGCTCTGCCTATCTAGAGGCAGAGCCAGCTGTACCCTCCCCCGTCCGTTCCGCCAGTCAGCGCTGGAGGATCGGAGAGGGGAATCCAGCCCCTCCCCTGTCACGGCAGAGAGCCGTGACAGGATCGAGAGGTGAGCGAACGCCGGTATGTGTTCCCTCACCTCCCGATCTACTGAGCCGACCTGTGACAGTCTCATTGTCACAGGTCGGCTAGAACTATGAGGTGAGTGAGAAGTTCTCCTTTAATATGTTCTGAAGCGGGTTCGCCCGGCTTTGGATGTGTGCGGAGGGAATTCTGCAGCAGAAGACGGCGGGTCAGTCAAAGCCTATTGGTTCAACACGCTGGCGGGGCAAGGCTTTGTGCCGGGACGGGCCACATACATTATTTAGAGAGCCGCGAGGTTCCCTTTGTGACATGCCTCCCTTAGAACAACCGCTCTGCAGAGTTCTCCGTGCCTTGTAGGCTCAGTATGTGATTGTTGGATTGTTACATTTTTCTTGTATTTCCTCTCCGGAGTTTTTGCATAAATACGTTAAAAAAGCAATTCTGTGTCCGTGTCTTGTGTTCTGAGTGTCACTCCGTGTGGAGGAATGTATCACAGATGACGGATTTCACCAGGATGATGATGTTTTGGTTTTGTGCTTTTTTTCCCCATTCTGTTTCAAATTCCCCCACAAAGGGTTTCCTATAAGTCAGATAAACCATCCATAGTTCCTTCCTTATCATTTGTAGGCAAAATTGTAGTTTTTTTGTTATACTTTAAAAGCTGAACTCCGTCCTTCCCTTCAGTCTTGCACAGCTGTACCGGCTCCTCTCCAGGGCTCCCTCTGATATCACTACACACCGTGAGCTCCTCACAATGTGCATTAGAAGCTAAAGTAAGTCAGACAGAGCCCGCCTCATTTCCTGGGTGAGGGCCACTCAGCATCATCTAGCTCTGCCCTTCCCCAGCATGACTGTATCTGGCCCCGCCCCTTTCATTCATTGGATCTCGGTTATTTCAATCATAGCGGATCAGCATCACATGTGGGCGTTACCTAGGGTGGTCTGCATGCAGATGTATCCTGCTTAGGATCACCCACTCCAGACTGACGCTCACCCATTGAGGGACATTTATATTTGCATAACTCCTCCCACTAAACTGCATAAAGAAGCATAGTGATGGTATCAGTGGGTGTAAAATAAGGTATGTAATTAAAATGAAAAGGTTTTATTTAAAAATCTAATTGACATGATGAGGGTGAAAAAGGGGTTCAAGAAGGCGAAATATAAGCAGATTAAACTTCTGCTTTATAGAAATAGTTAAATGTATGTGCATACGGCTAGTACAAGTACACGACTCTATCTCAATAGCTTTCATCAGCATGTCATGACGCATGGCAATACAATTTATGATGCATAGTGATATTTAATACAAAGTGCATTGCAAAACACATTGACATGCATCTTAGTGCATTTCCATTGATTTTAATTGACGGTAAAAATGCATAGATGTTAATTGCCCTAAAAAAATAAGCGATTTATTTAATGAGCTGCAGACAAAACGGGTTTGGACTTTTTATTCGATGTTAGAGAAGTGTTATCTCTCGGTGCTGCATGCACTCACTGAAGAAGGATGGTTTGTGCTCTCTACAATTGTTTTTGTGGATTTTATATATATATATATAGAGAGAGAGTAAACTGCCCGTTATCCGGCATGGATTGGTAGGTTCTGGATAAATGTAGTTTCTGGTTGCTTGAGAATATAAAAAAAAGGTCTAACTAATGCTATACCCCAACCCATAATACACCATACTATACCATATCATAACATAAACTCTATTGACTTCATATTAATATTGAAATGCTGTAATTAAAAGCAAATTAAGACAAATAGACGCAGGATCCTTTCCAGCATAATACATGCTGCAGAACAGTGAGTACACGGGATTTTTTTTTGTGGTTAGATGAGAGTTCTGGTTAGTTGTATACCGGATAACAGAGTTTACTGTACAGTATATATATATATACACACACACATATATATACTCTATATAGACTTCCATTTGTTGTAAGGGAAATGATTTGATAAATAATGTTGAATTATTCCTAATATTCTTACATGTATATATAAAGAATATTAGGAATAATTCAACATTAATTATCAAATCATTTCAATTATAACAAAGTCTAACAAATGGAAATATATAATCGTAAATAAAATATTATACAGGATTTATATAGCGCCAACAGTTTGCATAGCACTTTACAATATAAGGAAGACAATACAATTCAAGACAAGATGGAAAGGAGGGCCCTGCCCCTGAGGCTTACAATCTAAAATATTAATATATAATTAATTGGCAATTGATCATATCAGTGAATTGTCATTAAGGGCTCATTCACGCCAGCATTTTATATGACAAAACTGGCAGAATCATATACGAAAAAAAGTGTACTTAAAATAAATACAAATTAAAAAAAAAATCATGGAAAGTGATGAATGAAGTGGAAAATTGGCAAATATTTAAGATAATTGAAAAAAAAAGACCCTTTATAAAAACTTTTTTAAAAAAAGGCTCCCTAATATGTGTATCTTACATGATGTAAATTGTCTTTTTTTTATTACATGGTTTAATACTGTGAGACCTATGTGCATGAGCGAAACCGGAAACATTTTCATTTTGCTTAATTTATAAGAAAAAATCCGTCCTTTCATTTAAAAAACAAACATTAAAAAATGTAATTTACTTTAATGACATACGGAAAAACTTTCACATTAAATTTATAGAGTTTAGGAAAATAAATCGCAGTCATTCTATGTAACGTATGCTGGGGTTTGATTTGTGGTTAACATGAGGGATGTTACGCAATCGATTTTGCAGAAGTAATACATTTATTATTCTTCGGTCAGGACATTATTTTTTTTATTTTTGCATGCATGCCGATAGGGACTGATCTGCCAGGAACTTCATCCACAAAAAAAAGAGAATTATGAAATGACATTAATCTCTAGAAATCAATTATCAAGACACATTATAACTAGCAAATACTATTTGTGCAAAAATAAAAAAGCAACCTGTATTAATTTAAAGAAATCAGACTGGACAACTTAATTGATTTATGTGTTAATGAAAAGAAAAGTGACTGGACAAATAAACTGTGTTTTTTTTGGAAAAATTACTTTTTAGTTGATTTATGTATTAATGTAAAGAAAATATAAATGTAAATTAACTTTTTGTAAAAAGAAAAGAAAAATGTACTATTTTATTTTTAATTTTTTTCAAAAAAGGGCTGCTAGTCCTTTAAATTAGCGGTCACCAACTGGGAGAAAATCCCTGAGAAAATGTTTAATGGTCCCCGGGCCCTCCACCAGCACTGTCACTCCTGCAGGCACACTAGCACCTATGTATGTATGTATGTATATATATATATATATATATATATATATACACTGAGTGGCCAGATTATTATGACCACCCCATCAGTACTTCGTTGGGCCGCCTCGTGACTCCACGAGATGATGAAAAGTGATGCGAGGAATCTGACACGGCACTGTTGCCCTTCTGTTGTCTTGTACCAGTCTTGCCCCTCCCCCGTTCTGCCCTAACATTGACTAGTCGCTGACGGCCACAATTCGCACATTCAGACCCAGATTTTCGGCTGACAGTCCGGTCTTTAAACACTTTAAGAATGAGCCCCTCTTGAACATTTAACATATTTTGCTGTTTTGTTAATACTCGCTCCATGGCTCCGAGCGCCAACAATCATCCCACGTTCAAAGGCTGTTATATCGCGTTGTTTCCCCGTATCTTCAGAAACAAATCACTTCTACTGTCGTGGTAACCAACCTGCTTCCCTATTTATAATGGTCTGGCCCTCTAGCAACTTCAGCGCCAAATTATAGCTACATATAGCTAATTTGCCTATAAATGTCATGTGGTCATAATAATCTGGCCACTCAGTGTATGTTTATATATGAGGAAACAAACAATATGAGAATATATATTTTTAAAAAATTCATATTAGTGGTCCGTGGGATTTAAAATGATGAATTTAGTGGTCCATGAGGTCCGAAAGGTTGGCGACTGCTGCTTTAAATGATATTAAACTGTAGCTCTATATCTGGCCACATTGCAAGCCTGCCATTCTGCAATATTTTAGCGTGTCCACACTTATTTAGACACTTGATGACAACGTGTACTAAAAAAATCACAGAAACAAAATAATTGTACAAGGCCTCCACAATTCAGTATATATTGCTAACATTTTTGTATCATTTTTATTTAACTTTTTTTTTAATTGTTTGGCAATCTATTTACTATAAACCTACTAAACATTCACTTTGCCAGGTGAACACTTTCTACTCTTGAATAAATGCACCCCCGCTATGGTCTGAATAGTTCTTATCTTCGTAGCAACGACAGTCTGGGTCCAAAATCGGATATATTTCAGACAGTTGAAAACAAATTTTATACTTATATAATGTACATTTTTGCGACCTGGACTATAGATATGAAGAGTCAGTCTAGCCAAAGAATTTTTGGAGTTGGGTGGGTTCAGTTACCTGCTTATTTCTCCTGACTCTTAGGCCCGGTTCACACCTGAGCATTTTACCGCACGCTCCTATGCGCGGTAAAACGCGCAACAGGTGAAAACCCATGTTTGCCTATGGGCATGGTTCTCACCTGCGCGTATGATCGCGCGGCAAAACGGCATATGCCCAAAGAAGCACAGGAGCTTCTTTGGGGCGTATTAATGCGGGTATCCCCCTCGGAAACTCGCGTTTGCCGCGCGTTCCTTTTACCGCAAATCGCTGTAAAACCGCGCGAGCGTGACTGGAAAATGTTACATGCAGATAGAGAGTATCGGTAAGTAGGTGATTTAAAGCCGAATCCAGGTTTTTGGAAAATGTGGTGAGACAAGTATAGAGGTTACCGTTGATGATCTTTCATCCTGAAAATGCTGCGTGCCTGGACTTTATGCTCGGTTAATGACTGCAATAATTTGAGTCACTGACCTAGAACAAACATTCAGAACAGAAGGTCCCCTACCAGGGGTCTTTTATGTGTTGTTCTTCTGACTTGCTATAAAATCAAGTTGGTCATCACGGACCTCGCTAGCTCATAAGAAGCCTCAAGACTTGTTGGATCCATATGGACTGGGTGTCATGGCCATTAGCACTTTTTGCACAGCAGTCTATATGCAATTCAGTAGGTGTGATTGAGAATAGTCAATCAAAGAGGGAGACAACCTTGGCCTTGGTCTTCAGACAGTGAGATGTTTAAAGTACCCTATTTGAAATGCCTTCTAAAGAACCAGCTTGAATAAAGGGAAGGTACCCATAGGTGCCTACATATACCTTCTACCATCTTACAAGGAGCCCATGCTCCAGGGGCATTCTAATGTGCAAATATGGACTTTAGAAAGTTAAGTCAAGGCCCACTTCTTCCAGCCTCCTGTACCTCACTATTGATCTTCAAACATGATATTTAGTCTCACTGGCCAATGATGACACACAAGAGGTGGAAGTGTAACTGTATTATACCTGCTTTGAAAAATATATAGATAGCCATGATTGTCTGTAAAATTAGCCCTCCCCGACACACATATCAACAAAAATGTCTCTGTGTCACCCATGCACATGGTCTTCATCAAGGCAGCTCGAACCCAGATTTTTGGATCATTCTATGATCCTTTCCCAGAAACCCAAATTGCAGTTTGCCTATATTTAATAATGACGGAGGTCCCTTAAACATAGCCATCGAAGCTATGGCACTTTCAATAGTAGCCAGTGTCCATGTCCAATGATAGCACATGATCAACCTTGAGTCAGTCCAGTGATAGGCAGATCTTCCCAAGTAACGCTATCTCTGCCCTGATCTAACATGTTCCTGATGAATTTCTTGAGCAATCTTAATTGGCCTTGGGTGAATTATTTGACATGTTATTTGTTTTTACAGGAAGTCCGCTGCACTATGCTTATTTGTAACCTTGTTGACTCTTTATTATCTTCCAGCTTATTGGAATGCCACTCGGGCCTTCATGATCTTGTCCACCTTGTCTTGCTTTGCTGGCATTATCGCCGGGATCTTGTCTTTCGCCCACTTCTCCACTTTCCAGAGATTTAACAGATCCTTTGCTGCAGGCATCATGTTCTTCATTTCCAGTAAGTGTTTACCTTACAATAGATATAAGCTGTATCTTGCTGCACTCCTTACAGGTTCAAAGTAAACCTGTATTCCAGGTGGGTGCTTGTAAGCAGAGCCCACGTCCCATACAGGTAGACCACGGATGGCACCGTGAAGTACATCAAAATTCAGGAACGTCACCAGCACACTAGTATAACGTGCAATTGGTCCATTTGATTACTCAAGATTGTCATACAAAGGCAAGTCTAGGCTTTTTATGACAATCTTGAGTCATTCAATGGACCAATTTCACATTATACTGGTGTGCTGGTGACGTTCCTGAATTTTGTTTACCTTACAATAGGGGCTGCATTTTATTATAACGATATTAGTTCAAAGTAGGGTTGTTCAATAGGCATAGGTTCCCATGGAGGCTGGATGCAGAAACAGAGTTGCTTACAAAGCTTGAGTCAGTTCGGAGCAATACAAATCTCAATGAACATGGAAGAGTTTACTGGGTTGTTCAAGCCTAGAGGTTGGGGTGCGCTTGACTTTTATTAAGAATGCATACACCCCCTTTTATAGATCATAGTAACTGAGCTTTAGATTGTTAAAAGAGCATAAGTCCATAACAACCAATCAGATTACAGTTTACTGAATGATGAATGATGACAATTGTTAGGTTGCTGTTGGTCCCTTGCTTTTTGGTTTATTGATTCTCAGAGATTGGTAGACCTGCTATTTTGCAAGAGGCAACAGAGGACACCTGCTAGAGTGGTGCAAGGTCTAAGAGAAATGGTCAGAGCAAACAGCAGAGAGTGGCAGAGTCAGCAGGCTGGTGGTAGATCCATCGCAAGAAAACTGAACCTAAGCAGAGCCCACGTCCCATACAGGTAGACAAAGCAATGAATGGTGATAGCTAAGGTAACAGGCTGATGATCAGGATAAGCAGAGAACAAGAAAAGTGCAAAGAACCTCAGGAGTAATCCAAAGCATAAACAGATGAAAGTGGATGGACCTCTATCCAGGACATAAGCAAACAGAATAACCCAGAGGTAGATAACCTTGGCACTCCAACTACAAATTCATAATGCCTCTGTTTCTGATAGCCATGCATGTGGCTGTCAGAGTCTTGCAAGGCCTCATGGGACTCATACTTCAACAACAGCTGGAGTGCAGAGGTTTGCCTACCCCTGGACTATCTTTTACTCAGGCTTAGGCCTAATGTCAAGCAGTCTCATAAGCTTCTATAATTAGGGTAGGTGTGTGCTGCAGAAACCTGAGTTGCAGTGCTGACTAATGGCCAGCAGATGGTGAAGGCTTAAAGTTTGCTGTAATAGGACAGCAGCACAGTGGACGGGCAAGGCATAGTGAAGGTGAGCCCTTAGAAGAACAGTGAAAGCAGGATCAGAGGGGTATTCGGAAGAGGATTTTGTGACCAATACAAATACAGGTGAAACTCGAATAATTAGAATATCGTGCAAAGTTCATTTATTTCACTAATGCAACTTAAAAGGTGAAACTAATATATGAGAGAGACTCATTACATGCAAAGCAAGATAATTCAAGCCGTGATTTGTCATCATTGTGATGATTATGGCTTACAGCTCATGAAAACCCCAAATCCACAACCTCAAAAAAGTAGATTATTACATGCAATCAATAAAAGAAGGATTGTACATAGAACAATATCGGACCTCTGAAAAGTACAAGCATGCATATGTACTCAGTACTTGGTTTGGGCCCCTTTTGCAGCACTTACTGCAATTACTTTTGCACGATATTCTAATTATTCGAGTTTCACCTGTAATAACAGGCATCTTTAGGCGTGCGCTCTTAAGCAGAACTTTCAAATGTTGCCAATGGCTGACAGGTCCACTTTAAAATCGCATCTGTATTCTAGTAACGTTTTTACGAACTTTCTATAATTGCGCTTTTCTGAGAGGCTGATTGACTAAAGCAGCAGCTGGAATGAGACATAAAAGAGATGTAAAAAGACCTTTCTGACGGATATGAAAATGTAGTGGACAGCGCGACACATTAAGTAATGTCATGTCTTGTCTGTTAGGGGAAAATATATGTCTGCCGGTGACACGGCTTGTCTCCCAAGATTAATGTGACATTAAACTGCGCAGCGGCCGAAAGCCGCGAAAATGACACCATTTATTTCTACGAGTGACAGACTCTTCCAAATGATATTTTGCCATCATTTTACTGAAATGTCAGAATATCTTCTCTGAAAGAGCTCATCATGAACTGCTGAGAGCATTATGAATTCCTATATCCTCCCAGGGACCACTCAGAACTTTGCTACTCCATCATTAATATATACTGTATAATATACTCATGTGTTTATATATACACCAATCAGCCATAACATTATGACCACCCACCTAATACTGAGTAGGTCCCCCTTTGGCCGCCAAAATAGCCCTGACCCGTCGAGGCGTGGACCCCACTAGACCTCTGAAGGTATGCCGTTGTATCTTACATCAAGCTGTAACTAGCAGATCCTTTAAGTTCTGTGTTCTTAAAGGATCTGCTAGTTACATATTATATATGCACCGATCAGCCATAACATTATGACCACCCACCTACTACTGAGTAGGTCCCCCTTTGGCCGCCAACATAGCCCTGACCCCTCAAGGCGTGGACCCCACTAGATCTCTGAAGGTATGCTGTGGTATCTGGCACCAAGCTGTCACTAGCAGATCCTTTAAGTCCTGTGTTCGGATGCGTTGCAACACAAGGTGTGTTTGGGTTCCGTTCTCGCTTCTTGCTCCAGGCGGCCCCATCCGCAGTCACTACAAGCACCCTCCCCCAGCGAATGGGATATCCGGTAAGGAGTGCAGCAAGACTTCCATACATTATGAATGGAGAGAGTGAATCTACTTAGGTAGGAGAGGCATAGGAACCTGACAGAGGTTCTAATCCCGCCCTACTATGCCTAAAACAAGATGTTTGTCTATATCATTTTTTGAGGAAATCCAGGCATGTGTTGTGAATATGTCTACAGAGTCTCTCTCTTATTACCCCCAGCCCTCTTTGTTCTCCTGGCCATGGCTATCTATACCGGGGTAACCGTTAATTTCTTGGGCAAGCGGTTTGGTGACTGGCGCTTTTCCTGGTCCTACATCCTGGGCTGGGTGGCTCTGCTTATGACCTTCTTTGCAGGTAAGATGATCTATCTATCTATCTATCTATCTATCTATCTATCTATCTATCTATCTATCTATCTATCTCATATCTATCTATCTATCTATCTATCTATCTATCTATCTATCTATCTATCTATCTATCTCATATCTATCTATCTATCTATCTATCTATCTCTATCTATCTATCTATCTATCTATCTATCTATCTATCTATCTATCTATCTATCTATCTCTATCTATCTATCTATCTATCTATCTATCTATCTATCTATCTATCTATCTATCTATCTATCTATCTATCTATCTCATTGTGATATAATCTTTCTCCTTTTCCTCAGGGATATTTTACATGTGTGCCTATCGCATGCACGAGTGTCGGAGAGTGACTGGCCCTCGTTAAAAAGTGGGAAACCACCCAGCAATTATAAATAATAATTTAGGACGATACATCCTAAAAAAAACACAGCAAACTTTTGTCTGACAGCCCAACAGATAATCCCCCATTGTATTAAAGTAGATGGCGGCAAGCCTAACCAAAGCAAGGCGCACTAACCCAAAGTACCCAATCAGGATTCATCTTTCACTGACTATGGAAAACTCGGATCTGATTGGTTGTTGTGGATTAGTGCTCTTAGATTTGGCCCTTGACTTGAACAAAACGTGGATGTGCCTTCCGTACCGACCGAACGGATCTCAGCTGTTCTGTGGATTTGATATTGCTGCCCTTTTGCTTCTTCCTGTTTGGGAATTCTTGTCTCCTGTTAACTTTTTGGTTACGGTCAAAGACGCCACATTCCAATTAGCCATAGTTCTTCCAAAAAGCAAGATTGTAAAAAAAAAAGCCTACAGTGCTCAAGAGGAACTTAAAGGGGGCCCATGCAAGAGAGAGCCCCTATACACACCTCTCCAATGGCCATTGTGTCCTACCTTCCCACTATTCCAGTGCTAAAGTCTCCATCTTTGGCACTGGACACTCCCAGGAGTGTCAGATGTCTGTGCCTCCCACCAATTGCCAGGGATCCATCCACAAACCCCTACATCACCACAGGACTCAGTGGTGACGTAGGGGTCGGAGGGTGCAACCACAGCATGGGGCATGGGACATGGGCATCTGACTTTCTGGGAAGAGTCAAATGCCAAAGACTCTGATGAAGACTGCATCGTGGGAGGGGAGGAAGGAGTGATGACTAGAGCCACAATCGTTGGCATTCAACACTTCCAGGAGTGTCAGATGTCTCCCACCAAGTGCCGAGGCTCCCTCCTCAAACCCCTACATCACCACAGGACTCAGTGGTGACGTAGGGGGTTGGAGGGTTCAACCACAGCATGGGGCAGGGGACATGGGCATCTGACATTCCCGTGACGAGTCAAATGCCGAAGACTCCGATGAAGGCTGCAACGTTGGAGAAGAGGGAATGTAGAAGCGATGAGTATAGGAGCTCTTCTCCTGCAGGACCTGACTGTTTGAATCCTTGACCTGACAGGCCTGTAAGAGCACTAGAGATCAAAAATACCAAAAAAAAGCCCTTGACTTTGATCAAAACGTATTCTTTTGTTTTGTATAGCGCGGGGAAAGGTCATTGCCTGGTTCAAGTTTTTATTGCTGTCTTGTGTCTTCTCTGGGGAAATTTCCTGCCACTTCCTACCAGCACTAAGTAATGGGAAATCTCATAATTTTAGTAAAGCTTGGACGGGCACTTCATTGTATGTGAGAATGGTGTTGGCGCGCCCCCATACCAGGATGTTGTAGAGAAGAGAAGAGCAAGAGCTGCCAGGGGAACAAGGAAAAGGGTAAGTATTCAATCCCCGTAGACTAAACAAGGCTTTACTCCTTGCAGTGCATTGAACCCCCACTGCATGAGTAATTTGCACACTATCCTAGAGTTCAGCTTCAATTGATATCTGTGTATTCCTGTTCTGGTGACAACTGATCCCTTTAGTTGTCTTGGTGTCACATGAACAGGAACTGGGGGGAAAATCTCTCTAATTAGATCACAGACAGATATTGAAACCCAAAGACGCCCACTGTCCTGGATCTTGGTCCTCTTTCCCACCAATGCTGTATCCAGCATTGAATGCATTATTTGCGTGGATTGGGACAACGAGTGGGCCTTCCCCACATATTTTGGAAGCAGGGTCAGGGTGGGAGCAACCCATAAAGAGGAGGGGCTAAAGTACCCACATTTTATCTCCAAGAATCTAGAACAATCCAAAATGAACATAGTAAAATTGAAAGTGTTGTGGAAGTTTGCAAAATTGAAAAAAAAAAAAAAGTGGTTTAAAGGTTATTAAAAAAATATATGTTATAAATTTTCATTGTTTTTATTCTTTGACGGTTTAATAAAAGAAGACGTATGCAAATTGTATCCGTCTTTGATCTGGTGAATTGCGAGTGAAGTCATTTTATGAAGAGAGCAAATAGAAGAAGCGGTGTAGCTGCTATGACATACTGTATTACTATTCAGCAGAGAAGCATCAGGAACACTCAAATCCACTAACGCGTTTCATTATACATAAAGCGACTAATCATAGGGGCGCGTAGGTCACCTCTCCCCTATACAGAGTGGGTATGTGTTGGGTGAACTCATAACATGACTCCTGTTCAGTTCATTAAGAACTACCCTATGTGGCAATAAGGCATGCCTCACAGACGGCAAGCCAGTTCATCCCAAAGGATGTCAGGGTTGTGGTCAGGGTTCTGCGCAGGACACTCAAGTTCTCCTGCATTAAACTCATCAAACCATGTCTTTATGGAGCTGGATTTGTACACAGGGGACAGTCATGGTGGAACAGCAAAGGGCCTTCACCAAACTGGTCAAACCATATGTTTATGGAGTTGGCTTTGTAGACAGGGGACAGTCAAGGGGGAACAGCAAAGGGCCTTCACTAAACACATTAAACCATATCTTTATGGAGCTGGCTTTGCACACAGGGAACAGTCATGGTGGAACAGACAAGGGTCTTCACCAAACTGTTATCACGACGTTGGAAGCCCACAATTGTCAAACATGTCTTTGTATGATGTCGTATTAACAGGACCCTTTACTGGAAACACCTGAAGTCAACCAGTAGATGGGTGTCCACATAATTGTGGCCATCTAGAAGAAATGCATTAACAATGTGAACGGAGGGTTCTCCTTGAGATTGATAGATCGATAGATAGATAGATAGATAGATAGATAGATAGATAGATAGATAGATAGATAGATAGATAGATAGACAGACAGACAGACAGACAGACAGACAGGCAGGCAGACAGACAGACAGACAGACAGACAGACAGATAGATAGGTAGATACAGATAGATAGATAGGTAGATACAGATAGATAGATAGATGCCACACTTGGCCAACCCCTTTGCAGCCATGTTCACGGTCTTTGTGGTTGAGACTGCAGGATATTGTGTTGTGCAACCTCTCTCTGAGAGCTTCAACTTGTGTTGGCCAAAACCTCAGGACACTTGGCTCACCTTTTTTTCAGGCTCAGATCCATCTACATTCAATAAATAAGCATATTGGAAGTTTTAGAGACTGAACTAACAGAGTAACCAGCCACACAAAATGATTGACAATAAAAATATTTATTGGATATGTTGTGTCTCTCGGGTGAATTAGAATGCAATATGATCAAGTTGGACAGAGACCTAGCACACCTCAGTTATATGAACATATGTAGGAAAACAAGCAAGTTTACAAATATAAGCTTTCTTCTTGTTCCCTCTTCCTGCTGTGTCCTGCTGGAAAACACAAGTTCCTGATGCAGGAATCCCTAATCGCACCTAAACTTACAGATGTGAATGAAGCCTCCCCCCTATACACAACTTCCCCCCCATACACATAAAAACAAATACACACACCGCCACATATAAAATAATACAACCTCTCCCACCACCACACACCCACATATAAAATACAGAGCCCCCTCTCCTGCTTACCTTGCAGGGAGGAGGCATGATCCCTGGTGATCTAGTGGTGATTAGTAAGGTCTGCTGCAGACTTTACTAATCCATCCTTTTGTCAGACGTTCACTGAAGGATTTCAGAGTGCTGGCCGAAAAGGATCCGAGTGCCGGCACAGAGGAGCAGCTATGCAGTCTGCATCCGACAGAGAGCCCGTAATTGGCCTGCGGGCCGGTACTTTGAGACCTCTGCCTTATAGACAATGGGTTTTTATTTGCTTTGGATAGGCTTTGCATTCCTATACAAGCCTAAAGGAATGCAACACCCAGGCGAAGCAGGTCAGAGAGAGATCAACTGCAGGTCAAATGCACATAGCAAGGAATTTTGAATGAACTTAGAAGCACCTTAAACCGATATGAAAGCCTAAAGCCCATCAACACAAGCCTACAGGGAACTTCGGTAGATGGAAATTATGGTTTTAGCATTGCAAGCTGGTGGAAAAAGAATCCTAGCCATAACCCAACTCAGACACAATGGCGCTCCATGGTGGGGGGTTATGTTTACGATGGCTCTTGCGTAGTACTCTCTGACACTAGCTGTCTTGTGTCATCCAACTTCATTCCTGCGTCGGGCTCTATTCTATGGTGCATCAAGCTCACAAGTGCTACAATAAAGGAGACAATTCAGTTAGTACATATTTGATATAATAACTAAATGCACAAGGATTTTTTTTCACACCTCATTGGAAAGTATCTCCCACTATCCTGTGATTGGTGCAGGGAAAACAACAGATATTCAACAATTTTATTGTAAGGGGGTTATTCACAAAGCTGCCGAAGGCAGCCGAGTGAATAACCCAGCCGAAGTGAAGTGAGGCGAACGCTCATGCTCCCCCACACCTCCTGAGTTACAGTCAGAGCTGGGTTTGCAGTCTGACACTACAAGTGGTCAAGGGGCAACTGCTTTGGGCCCCACAGCAATGACTGGGCCCAGGGCACCTGCCCTTTTTGCCCTGCTTCTAATGGGGACATTTCTTATGCTGACAACACAGTCCTCTCACTTCCTGGTGTGTCTCCAAGACAGGAAGGGAAGGAAAATCTTTCCAATGTGAAGACAGACAGCTAAAAAAAAAAGCACTCTATCCAAAACTAAACAAAAGAAAGTTTGGCTGAAGCTAAATTTTAAAGACAAATGATGATTTGCATACAATTAATATGTTGTATTGTTAACGATAAAGTTTTCTCTTAAAATGTGAAAAATGAAGCACAAAAAAGCAAGAAATATGTATAAAGAAAAGGAAGTTACCAGCCACAGGGTACATGAATGCACCAATCCAGCCGAGGACTAAACTGTATCCAATGCTTTGATAAACGGTCTGATTGATAAGGAAGTTTGTTGCGGAGCCCATTCCAGCCACTGCTGCAACGCCTGAAAATGAATCAAAATGATACACAAGATTAACTATGAAAGAGTCAAATGACCCCCCCCCCCCCCCCCCCTCC